TTTGTTTGTCTTGTATTCATCGTCTTCCTCACGACAACTAGTCTATCTTGTACTGCAATGTTTGTTGCTCTAGTCATCATGGGAACGATAGTTGCCATTGGCTCTAGTATACGCTCGAGCTGGCCTATGTGGTACAACTATGTTCAAAGTCGTACATGTACATCGTTGACTCAGCAAATACGATCTCAACTACAAAACAATGTGAGTTTGCTACTGGGATGTACAGATGTGTACAACTTGTCCATGACTTTTCCCATCTCAGGTCGAACCCTATCACGTACTTTCATGTAATGAGGCAATGTGTACTAGTCCAATCCACTAAAGATCATGTTATGCACAATTTGGATGGCACTAAAAAACCCATAGCTCATGATAACTCGACAAAGAACATCAAATGATTTCGAGTGTCTCCGAGACCTTTCGCGCAATAGTTTCATTGCCATATCACCATGCTACACTAGGAAAAACAAATAAAGATATGAATAACAATTATGTGAACAACATGAATAACAACAAAAGAGGCATTTGCGTCGTTAGCGAGCCTCGCTCCACTCTTCAATACATCATCAAACCATTTCTTTGCTTCAGTTATCAGAGTCTCCCCTATCGTAGAGGTTACTCTAAAAGAATAAAAGGAAAAATATTAGAGTGCACGTAGATGAGTTACTTTACTTTAACAAAATTTCATAAAATACTGACCTTGGTACGATCTTGCTGAACCAGCCATCAAATGTTTTCTTCTTTGTCCAGTCAACTTCACAGAAGAGGTTGGGCAACGTACCATCCACTAACATTCTATTATTTGCCTGACCATGTACAGAGAAGCAATGTATTCTCGTCCTCTTGCTGACCAACTGCTCTAACACATCAATATCATGCTTCTTACCCTTTGTCACCTCCATTGCCTCCTTTGGCACAATTGTCACGTCGTCCTCACTCGTGACATTATCTATCAAGTCGGTGTTCCTCTCCGCCACTTTCTCCGGCACTGGGAGCTCCGCCTCCTCTGCCATCCCCTCCCACCTTTCCCTCCTCCATTACCGACGACATAGATCTAAAAAATGCATCGAAGGCAACATCCAATGTCCACCAATCCTAAGGACCGCTAATCCCTCTATCAATTGCACCGCTACTTGCCCCAGCACTACCTCCATCATATCTACGGTCGTAACCTCGAAAGCCTGGTACATCATTTCGAAGTGCTGTGACCTTAGTATGAACGTATCATATATCCCGTCGCAGCGCTCATATCTCTTCTCGTAGCACTCCTAACTTCGTCTTGAAATCGTGTCTCAACTCTCATCATATTGTTCACAGCTCCTCTCTGATAAGACCAGTTAGACGTGCAAAGAAATAATTGGAATAATAGGTCTGACTGGGTGTAGGCGATCAACGTGGGAGGTGGCTGGATACGAAAAATGGAGATCTCCTCGGGGAAGGTGATAACAACGGTGGCAGTAATTTAATGGGTAGAGGTAATCTAATCGGTGGAGGTGAAGGAGATATCCGGAGTGGAGGTGATCGTCATTCCACTGGATGGTGCTTCCATACAAATAAGAAGATTAAAAATTAATAATCTGCACATGTATATTATAAGTCAAATCAACCAACAATATTAAATAAACATACCATATCTATTTGAAACGGACTCAAACAATGGATCGTCTTTGGTAGGTGGAATAGATAATCCACGCACGTACATCTGATTCTCCTCATCCATCGAAGCAGTCAACTCAGTGTGGACTTCGAGCTGACATATTGACATTTCAACGTGTTAAAAATCATGTATCAAGCCGAGTAAATATACATACAACATAAATTGAAAACATATAATACCCACCTAAGGATCGTCAAGGATAGATACCAAATCTCTGGCCAATGGCTTCTCATGTGCTCGTATTGAAGCATTCGCGGACATCTTGTCTCCTTTCTGATCGCCCACTTGCTACCTAAAGTGGGGATAGCCTCACACACCCATAACTGCAACAAGTAAAATTATACTTACACATTTAATAAAAAGTTTAACAGGCATTAGGTTAAACATTTACCTACAAAGCTAATGGAAAGCCATATGAATCATACTTGCGCTCGGCCTTCTCCGACTTGGGCATCGAATTCACCTTCCTGAAGACGTGTAGTGTATCGTTATAACATCTCCAACACCATGTAAAGCTGTTGAAGGTGTCAATATCATCAACAACGTCCAACGAAAAAAGGTCAATCGATGTCTTATGGTGTCGACACCTCAGTACACTCTCCAGTATGAACACCAATCACAACTTCAACTTGTCCAATATATGATCGTATTTCCTGAATGCGTCCTCTAACTATGGGGGTGTAACATTCCCTTTATCTCCAAAATATAAATCGAGCAATATATTTGCCGCAGTACGAGCATTTTCCGCTTTTTCACTATTATACTTCAAGCTCATAATGATGACAAATTCAAGGATCGAGAATCTCAACACCTTCCCGTCCCCCAAGGCAAAATGCAGCTTATCGCCATCGACTGATTTAAGCCGTTGAAGTAATAAGGAATCAATTATATGACTGGAAAACTGCATGTCCTTCAATGAATAGAATGACAATAGGAATGATCGATGGAGTATGACTACGTGCTCCTCGTCGATTCCCTCCAGTACTGTCGCATAGCTGGAAAAGTTACAATACGATGTAACTTTTTTTCAAATGAGCTAAGATACTGTTGTCCAGATGATACACTATCCTACAAAAATAATAAATGTTAAAACCATATACAAGAGAATATGGAATAAGACATAATATTTTAAAATTTAATCAATCACATTATCTGCTATTATATGCAAGAAATAAATTCATTTTATAACACAGGAAAAACAAAAATAAAATTAAAGTATAAAGCAAATTGAAATAGAAAAATAATTTCAAGTAAAGTAAAAGCAAAAATGAAAATGAAAAATAAATGATGGAAAAGAAATTAAATCAAGATTTTTTTTTCATAAAATTCAAGTTTTAAAAAAAAAGGAAAAAAAAACACATACAAAAAGAAAAAAAAATTAAATTTTAAAAAAATGAAAAATAATTGATGAAAAATAAATTAAATTAAGAAAAAAAATTATAAGATTCAAATTAAAAAAACACACATACAAAAAAGGAAAAAATGAAAACGAAAAAATTATTGATGAAAAGAAAATAAATTAAGAAAAAGAAATTGAAAAAAATATATAAGATTTAAGATTGAAAAAAAAAAGAAATACCAAAACGAAAAATGAATTAAATTGAAAAGAAAAAACGAAAATTGAAAATGAAAAAAAATATATAAATATGACCGGACTGGACTGGGACGTCTGGATCCGGACAGCCCAAGTCCGTCTGTAACAGATGGCCGCGAGACGTCCGGATCCTGACCTGAATGTCCGGGCCTGGACGTCTGGGTCCGGATGTGGCGAAACCAGCGGGCTCGTCGAAAAAATCCATTTCTGATGAGCTTCGCCCCAAAAATATTTATTTTTGTCTATTTCAACCTCAAATTCGAATTTTATTCCATTTTAATCATAAATAAATCTCAATATTTGTATTAAACTTATAAATTAACACATTCAAAGAAAAAAAATCAAATCGCTACATTCACCACAATGAAATGCTAAAAATTTCATACAAATACTAACATTTCAAGTTCAGAAGATGAACATGGCCGTCTGCTTCGTCTATAATCTTGGAGTCAAGATATGGTTCTATTTCTTTTTCAAAATAGAGTAAATTTATTTACAAATTTGATTAAAATGAATAATTATACAATTTCTACAATTTAGAAACAGAAAGGTTCAGGTGCCCAATATAGATAATATCAAGCCTCACATTTTTTTTAAAGAAAATAAAAGTAACTTTTTGAGTTAAAGGAGTTTTACTTCTAGATAAAACTTAAGGCTATTGTGGGAATGATTTTGAAATATATATATATATACATACATACTAGTCTTATACCCGTCCAATGCATGTGCTGTGTTATTTTTAAATAAATATTAACGTGTCGAATATAAATGGAATTATTTTGAAAGTTCAGTAAGTTTCATTTAAATTTTGGACAATTCCTAATCTTTAGTATTTAGAAATACACTTTGTAAATAAAATTGAAGGCCGAATTCATTCTAAATACCATATTATGTTATTGCACGGGTTGTGTTATTTTTAAAGAAATATTAGCGTGTCGAATATAAATGGAATTATTTTGAAATGACAGTAAGTTTTCATTTAAAATTTAGACAATTACTAGTCTGTAGTATTTAGAAAAACACTTTGTAAATAAAATTCATGGCCGAATTCATTCTAAATAACATATTCCTAATTGTGCCTCTGTGAGATTCATTTACGGATGGAGGTTTTCGTGTGCACGTGAACTAAAGTACATATTTTGATATTTTAGTCACAAAGTTTATACATATAAAACCATGCACTGATATGAACATGGGCTTGTATACACACACAATCAAAATAAGCGTATGCCTAATGAAATAACTATGTACATCCAACCAATATGACATGTAAAATACTTGTGGTCAGATTAGCTTCATATGCTCATAGAT